AAGTTGTCTATGTTCGCGAGTCACTATCATAACTAGGCCAGCAAAAATATATGCGGGAATAAATCTAGCTAAACGCTTCGGGGGCGTATTCTGAAACGGCCGAGATACGGAGCGAGAAAATTTGCGAGCCCTCAGGGTGTAAGCTTTTATTCTTGTGGTTGCGTACGTTGGCACTATAAGCAAATGCTCTATAGCCTCTTTAGGATTAATGTAGATGGCCAGTTCTTCTGTAGTTAAGGACTCCGGGTGATAATTAGTAGCTGGTTTTTCATTCGAAGCAATTACTCTATTACCTTTTTATGATAAACTTAAGATAGCCAGTTCTTCTGTGGTTGGTTTACGCTACGCTTCAACCTTCTGCTTGATCATCATTTTATAGCCAATAGCTTCCCAGTTGTGGTTTAAAAAGCGCAATACAGCCGATACCACATCAAACTATACATATTTTTAATTGCCTCTATTAGAACTGTTTATTGTACCACGTGCATACCATCCCATTTCAAAACGCCGCTGTTTTTGAAAACGGCTAGCCGTAATTTAATACGGCGAATACGATTCGACTGCGACATTTCCATAGATATCCAATGATAACAGGAACTCGATTGACTCTATTGACCCAATTATGTAGAGACAAACAAAAATAACAGAGAAGCCGAATGGCGATATTATTACATTTATTACGTTGCTGACAGGAAAAGGTATTTAATTGAATTTTAATGTAATTTTAATTGAATATAAATATCTGTACTCGCAAGTGAAATTAATTTTAATTTCGTATGATGTGTAATGTGCTTTTAATGTATTTTTTTCTATTCGAAATAGATGGATGAATGAAGACAGGAAAAATAAAATGCTATATTAAGCCTCGCTTGATTACCTATTGTTCAGTCAGTAGGTGAATGTATAAGGGCATTTCTACTGTACGGTGTATTTTTTCTCAATTCGGTGCTAAAATTTATATTTAGTTTTTTAAGTAGTTTCAATACAAAAAAATAAATGTTACTCCATTCTGAATGTAAAAATAGCATTGTCACTAAATATTGTGAAGTGGTTTATGANATCAAGTCTACTTTCGGATGAAGTTAAAGAATCAAATAATAATCAAGTGATGCAGGCTGTTCTGGTCAAAAATCGTTTAATTTTGCCTTTTTATACATAGCTCAGACTGAGTTGCACCATCTTACTCCATTGAGTTATAATGTACTACGTACTAATATTACTTCAATGTCTAAGGCCCAGAACAGACGGTGAAACGCAACTGCAACGAAACTGCAACTTTCTGATGATTCTGATGAATGAAACTGAAACTGAAAGTTTCAAACTGGTCGCGTCATGTGCGGTCTCTCAACGGACGCTATGGCAGAAACTTAGATGCAACTCAAAAGTAACTAGCAGTTGCAGTTTCGTTGCAGTTGCGTTTCGCCTTCTGTTCTGGGCCTTACTCTAACTTTAACAAACGTCACAAAATCTGTCAAACTTCATACTAAAAACATTGGTTATTATTATAGTTGCGATTAAAATAAGTTAGTGCAACTCAGCCTTCAATAGTATATTAATCATGTATCGTTATATGTAAAACAAACATACTAAATATACATTAACAGACTACAATCTACAATCGTTCGGGAATTCGAAAAGCGTCGGACTCTCGTTAAGTCCCCGTGGGTGTTGGAGTTGGTATTGGTACGCAAACTTTGCTGCGAATTGAAACGGAACTCCAACTGTTCCCTGTTTAGGTATTCACATCAATTTGTGTGCAATGAATACGCAATTTGGCAATGCAACTGTTTAGGCTAGGTATACATTAATTTCAGGGAATAACACAATACGATACGTTGTCCGAATGAGCTTGTAAACGAGTACGTACTTCGACAATATTATATTAGTCTCATTAATGAATATGAATATCAGTTTATCTAAATATATATAACTCAAAGGTGACTGACTGACTGACTGACTGACTGACTGACTGACTGACTGACTGACTGACTGACTGACTGACTGACTGACTGACTGACTGACTGACTGACTGACTGACTGACAGACATAGTGATCTTTCAACGCACAGCCCAAACCACTGGACGGATCGGGCTGGGCATGCAGGTAAATGTTATGACGTAGGCATCCGCTAAGAAAGGATTTTACGAAACTCACCCCTAAGGGGGTAAAACGGGATCCACGCGTACGAAGTCGCGGGCCCGCTAGTCGATTATAAACATAGAGTTCTCCCAGCAAATTTGCTCGCAATCAACTAAAAGAGCTAAATGAGTTGTTGATATGTATCACAAGCATAGTGAACAATAATCTCAATTCAGTATGAAGGTACTACTTCGAAGTTGACTACACGTAGCAGCAAGCGCCGTTTCACCACGAATGAAAGACCTATGAAGTGTCTTTCATTCTTTGATAGACCTATGATGACGTGTCGCTAGCAATGGAAGCTATTTCATAAACAAATATTGGAATCAACCAGTCGGCTACGAAATCTATCTCTGTTAGTTACGTAGAAGTAATTTATGAACAAACTTGTATTAATGTAATATTACAAAGTTGCTAACACACGGTATAACTAATTCTGTTTATAATTCAAACTCAGTCCTAACTAATCGAGAATAAGGACCAACAGTCCTTCGGGAACATCGATGAAAGGCCCGAATACCAACTTGGACTCTCAAGGGTCCCTGAAGTGCGAAGTTTGTATCCTACAAATTGAGTTCCATTCTTTTGGCACAAATTCTGAGACCCTTAGGCTGGGCTGCACCATCTTACTTTAACTTTGACAAACGTCAAAAATCTGTCAAACTCCATACAAAAAGCACCGGTTATCGTTATAGTTACGGTCAAAGTTGGGTGGTGCAACTCAGCCTTAATGTTTCATGACGGCCTTTTGATATTCGAATCAATTTTAGCCTCTGAGGGCTTTTAGCGAAATTAACACTTTAGTGCGAAAAGGGCTATGGAAGGAGAATCCGTAATTTTGAATGATGACACTTGAAATTCTACTGGTCGATTTGTTTGGAAATGCGACGTTGATTTAGTTCTAAATTATTATTTAAACGTTTTCGTGATCTTGTGTAGTATATCCCAAAGATGGGTATGATGCAATATTTTTATCGAATCAAAATATTCTGAAGTAGGTACCTACAATAGGTATTGTGTGTATAATATTTTAAATTTAAATGAGACAAAGGTTATTAATTTGCAAATTTTCGGCGTTTCAAAGCGTTTTTACTCGTCCCTGTACAATTTAGTGCTGCGTATACTCCTGCTGTGGCCACTATGGGCCTCATAAGAAGGCTCAAGGTCACCCAAAGGGCGATGGAGCGGGCTATGCTCGGAGTTTCCCTGCGTGATCGAATCAGAAATGAGGAGATCCGTAGGAGAACCAAAGGAACCGACATAGCTCGCAGAATTGCTAAAATCAAGTGGCAGTGGGCGGGGCACATAGCTCGTAGAGACGATGGCCGTTGGGGCAGGAAAGTTCTCGAGTGGAGACCACGGGCTGGAAGANGTGGGCGGGGCACATAGCTCGTAGAGACGATGGCCGTTGGGGCAGGAAAGTTCTCGAGTGGCGACCACGGGCTGGAAGACGTAGCGTGGGCAGGCCTCCTACTAGGTGGACCGACGATCTGGTAAAGGTCGCGGGAAGAGCCTGGATGCGGGCAGCGCAGGACCGTTCATTGTGGAAAACCTTGGGGGAGGCCTTTGTCCAGCAGTGGACGTCATTTGGCTGAAACAACATACTCCTGCTGTAGCCCACCCGTACGTTAAACAGTTATAAGCTTTTATAAGCGTTAAAATTTTCTAGCGTTAAAATTTTAAAGCGTTCGCAAATTGTCCGCTCCATAATACGGCTGCGGCGTTGACAGCGACCGATAACGCACTAAGCACTGGCGGATTTACGACCACCATTTAACTACACTTACATTTCTGCAAGTGGAAATGTGCGCCTAGGGTCGCCACGTGTCCGGCCTTAACCGGACAAGTTTGGCTTTTTACGGTCGTTTCCGTCCAAATATTGTTAGGCTGTCCGGCTTTTGTTAGGCTTTTTTATGTGGCAGCTGGGCAGGACCTTATGTGCTAAGTTTTAAAGATAAACAAATTAAGCAATGGCTTAGGGCATCACGTTTTGGGAGCATTAAAAAGACCACAAAAGTTTGGAACCACTTAGGTTATTTCCGCGAATTCAAAACCAAGGGGGTACGCTCATGATCAGGCTTTTAGGGTAAAATGTCCGAAAAATTAGGCACCGAGTCCGGCTTTTGTGTTTTTGGACCTGGCAACCCTATGTGCGCCCGTATCTCGGTGGCTAGCCATTGGGGTTCGTGTTTATGCATTACGTTTCACTTGACTGTGAACTGTTTTGATTGGACTAGAATTTATCGAGATGAATATTGAGTAGCTCGGTGTAAATCGATAAACGCTGTCTAACCCTTTGGGTTGTTTTGCATTTGGATTACTTTTATAGTTGTTACACTATGTTGCAAGGTAGCAAACTCAAATACGCATATTTAATTTGGCCAGAGATTGCCTAAATAGTAACTTTTGAACTGATGGCCGTTGTAGCAGAAAAGATCTCGAGTGGTAATCACAAACCAGAAACCGTAGTATAAACAGGCTTCCCACTGGATAGACCGATGATCCGGTGAAGCGCAGAGCAGTCCCAGTCGTTGTGAAATCATTGGGGGAGGTCTTTGTCCAGCAGTATATTGTAGTGTATATTCACTTTTATTAAATATCTATGAGATGAAACCTGAAAAATGGTTCGTTCACTGCTGGACAAAGGCCTATCCCTAAGATTTCCATGACGAGGGGTTCTGCGCTGCCCGCATCAAGGACTTCCCGCGACCTTTACTAGATCGTCGGTCCACCTATAATAATGGTATTCGGTTTCCCCACTTCAATGTGCATCAGTATAGATACATTTGTCTTGTTACCTCATCCCCTAATCTTTTGACATAAAGAAGAAGAATGCTGACGTTGTTTTCTGTTTGTTCCAGGTGTGGTTGTGATGACATGGTGGTGGGCGCTTGCGCTCCTAGCGCTGGCGACTCCCGCCCGCCCCGCGCCCCGGGCGGGCAACGGTGAGCTAATTTACAGTAAGCATCACTTTGAGCACCCCACACCCTGCTGCCAGAGATTTTGCTAAGACGTAGTCTTCGGAGACATTCTCATTCACTATAAAAGAATGTGTGTGCATGAAAAAAGACAGATTGATTCACTATATGCACCTCATGTGCATGAAAAAGTTGCTAGTAAACCCAGTTACTTAAGAAAATTCACTAGTCAATCCATTTCAGTGAGAGCCAAAGCACACGATGCGTTGCGCCGTCGGTGCGACGCCGGAGCGAAATCACTGCGTCGTCTTACATATTATAATTAACTGTGGTGTAGTTCTTGCAACTCACGAAAGCAAGTAAAATTTACTTGTGTGTGTACGTGTACATGCACATAACGGCAGTATGTCATGTAATGTTTTTCAAAACTTTTGGAAAAACAAACAGTAGCATGCAACCACTCATGTAAAGCTCATTCGCCTTCGTGAATTGCAACAACTGTATGTCACACGATACGGCGAAATCTTTAAGATGCGGCGCCGCAACGCATCCTGTGCTTTGACTCAGAGCACGGATTTGAGCGCCTGCCCCCTCTTAAAGCCCACTGATTCTGCTGAGACTGAGACGTATTTGTCGTTACTGATGATGGATCGAAACAGTGAACCTATTTTTTTTAAGAAGAGTAGGTACATGCNATACGCATGTTTAATTTGGCCAGAGATTGCCTAAGTCAGTGTTTTTCAACCTGTGGGTCGCGAGAGGTCGTAAAAACTACCTCAGTAAAAAAAACAGTAAAGGTTTAAAGCTAGATCTATTCGAAATCTAATTATGCAAATGCATAAATGTTGTATAGATTGAAGAATTTGGTGCCTACAACATCTTCATAAAAGGCATGAAAAAAAGCGATCGGTCGGGGGGTCGCAAAAATTTTTTTCATGCTAGGGGGGTCGCGTCATGAAAAAGGTTGAAAAACACTGGCCTAAGTAGTAGCGTCAACTGATAACCGTTGGGACAGAAAAGATCTCGAGTGGTAGGTAACCACAAACCAGAAAGCTTAGTGTAGACAGGCTACCCACTGGATAGATCGATGATCTGTTAAAGCGCAGAGTATGTATGTAGGGCCGTTCATTGTGAAATTATTGGGGGAGGTTTTTGTCTAGCAGTGGACAGTAATAGCTTGAGACGAGACTATACCTATTCACTTTTAATAAAAATCTATGAGATGAAACCTGAAAAATGGTTCGTTCATTTCAGCCAAATGGCGTCCACTACTGGACTGATATTACTACAAAGGCCTCCCCCAATGATTTCACGACGACTGGTCCTGCGTTGCCCGCATCCAGGTCTTTCCGCAACCTTTACTAGATTGTCGGTCCACCTACAAAATGTTATTCGAATCATATCCAATTTCAGGTTTCCCCACTTAAATGTGCATCAGTATAGATACATTTGTCTTGTTACCTCATCCCCTAATCTTTTGACATAAAGAAGAATGATGATTTATTTGTTTGTTCCAGGTGTGGTTGTGATGACATGGTGGTGGGCGCTTGCGCTCCTAGCGCTGGCGACTCCCGCCCGCCCCGCGCCCCGGGCGGGCAACGGTGAGCTAATTTACAGTAAGCATCACTTTGAGCACCCCACACCCTGCTGCCAGAGATTTTGCTAAGACGTAGTCTTCGGAGACATTCTCATTCACTATAGAAGAATGTGTGTGCATGAAAAAGGACAGTTTGATTCACTATATGCACCTAATGTGCATGAAAAAATTAGTACATAAATCAGTTACTTAAGAAAATTCACTTGTCAATCCATTTCAGTGAGATCCAAAGCACACGATGCGTTGCGCGCACGCCGGAACGGTGTCGCTGCGTCGTCTTACATAGAAATATCTGTGCCATGTCACACACGATACGGCGAAATCTTTAAGATGCAGCGCCGCAACGCATCCTGTGCTTTGACTCAGAGCATGGATTTAAGCGCTAGCCCTCTCTTAAGCCCACTGATTCTGCTGAGACTGAGACGTATTTGTCGTTACTGATGATGGATCGAAACAGTGAACCTATTTTTTTTAAGAAGAGTAGGTACATGTATGCAAAAAGGATTTATTCAGTACAGTAAGCATGATTTTGAGCATCCTCCCTCAAAAAAACCATTGATTCTGCTGAGACTTTATTACTAAAAGGTATCAAAATAGTGTTCCCGTTGAAAACCCGTTTTCCAATGTCCCGTGAAAAAGACTTGATTTAATTATAATTTTAGTAAACCCACTTCACAGTAAGCATTATTTACACCATATCACCCATATCCTCTGAAACCCATTGATTCTCTGTTGAGATGAATTCGTTATTACTGATAGAGGTAAGAAAGTACTTACCTATATTTTACCAGATCCATGAATTATTTCAGTGAACCTATTTCAGCCTAAGCATTACTTTAATCACTCCCTGTGTTAAAAAAGATAAAATGCTAAAAAAATATTCACGCGTATTTTTGTATCAGATCATTTAAAATACACAGTGGTGACACGTGTGAACATTCAACACTGAATATGCATGAAAGCTCACTTCATAACGACGTGTGCTTTTAAAAAAATACGACAGAATAATTTTCGCACTTTGTTAAAATACTTCGGTGGGACACGTTTCTAAAAATAAAAATATTTTTAGCAACATTTTCTTTTGCTGAAAAATGTACTTATCAATATTTTCAAAAATATTTAATGAACAAAACATTTAATCACAGCCTTGAAAAGTTCTTAATCACTTAAAAAGACTTTATTCTTCGATATTTTATTAGGCACAAAGAAAAGCTATGAAGTAATTCTTTGCTAACGCCATTCATTTATTAATTTCAGTGCTGCCATTTTTTCCTATTTACAGTTAATTGAAAATTTATTGGAACAAGCTGGCATGTGTGCCTTGTGATTTAGTTTATTTAATTATTATGCTAGTATAAGTTTTGCGGCAATGACTATCAAAAATCTTCTTTTTTTCGTGTCGACAACAAACCTACACAGTGTCAGCCCAAAACTCCGCCACAAGAGTGGCGTTGTCAGTAGCACTCATCAAATCCTGCTATCAAAAATAATCTACTGTGAAGGTTTACACTATGCAATTTATTCTATATTTCTTGCAGTAACTAGCGGAAATTTATATTAAGGCTTAAACAATCCATCGTTCTAGACTTATTTATCTAGGGGCCCATAAGTCCTGGTAAATTATTAGGGTCCCGTGAATCCCTGTTGAATAATAGAAAAATAGTTGGGAAAATAACGGCGTTCCCCGCGATTCTGGTAATTCTGCATTCTTTGGCGATTTGTGAGAAATATTGTTCAGATAAGTTATGGGGGTGATTATATCGGACGTTTATTGTTTGTTACGTTTGATTTATGTTAGCAATACTGGGAAAAACCTGGGCTTTAGGTTTTAGGTTTCCTTTTTGTGGTTGCTAAGTTTGTAGAGCTAAAACAATTTTTAGTTACTAAATGAGGTCAAACGAATATGAATATGAATAAACTCAGAAATGTAATGCTGAAACAATGGGCTTATGTTTCTTACGTAAAATATGTCATGTTCATAATCATACTTTTATTTCAATATATCAACGATAAAATGATAATGAAACAGTTATTATCTTCCAAGAAATTATGTTACGATCAGTTTTATAAACAAAATATTTATTTTATTCGTTAAAAATAACTAAATAATTCAATTTTGGAATGTAAAATAATAAATAAAGTAAATAAATAAACAAACCGAGATCTAATCACAACAACCTTGCCTCAAACGAAATTATCTCCGAAACTCGCAGAAGCGTTTGGAATGATAAACAAAATTGCTGAATTAATTCCGATAAAATACAAATCAAATTTAAATTGCGACGGGCAACGTCTCCGAAAAGATTTTCGTATTTTTATTCAGGGCAAATAAATCTAATTACCATATTGAATCAGACAGAGGGTTCCGTACCTAACATAAGTGACGGCCGCTTAGCTACGTGCATCTAATATTGTTTATTGTATATTTTATCTACTCTATCAACTTAGTACATAAATAGTACTCTAAAAATATCCCCACTGAGATGTTTAGACTTATCTTACATCATGTGGGTCGGTATTATCCTAGTAGTGTATATTAAAAAAGTCTTCAACAGTGAAATCAAAACCTTAAGAAGCCTTAAACGGCAAGATTTATCGTTTTTACATACTAGTATCATCATTATTTCAAAAAGCGGTTAGTTTTTTATCTATTTTTATTTCAATACTTTTTATAGTTACTTATTACTCTTCATCCAGCCAAATATTCGGAAATTGAACATTTGAGGTAGAATTTAACCTTTCCTTTATTCAATTTTAACCTTCCATACGTTGCCGTTTCCCATACACGAACATTTAAATTATTTTATTCGATTAGCTCGATTGGGCAGGCAGGCAGCGAGCGCAATCGAAAGTGACATGCGCAGTTTAATCACATGCGTGAGTAGGGTATGCAAGTTTTGTGAATCAATTAGGAAAGGTACTAAAATTGTAGTCATTCTTTGATAATGATAGGTCAAATCTTATCGATTGAGAGCCTACAATTTATAATAATCTACTCACTTGTAAATAAAACTGCACAACTGCACTTGTTCTAACGAGCTTATTAAAAAAATTTGGATACTGATAACAAAGTCACCCTGTATTGTGCACGACCGATCGTTGTGGAAATCTTTGGGCCTTTGTCCAGCAGTGGACGTCATTCGGCTGAAACGAACGAGCGAAGATTTTGAAAATATAAGGTTTTAATTTTGACAAGTTAAATATCACATTTTTAATACGATGATTATTCATAAACTATTTTCATTTCGGTACAGTCAGCGTCAAATAGTTTGTGACACCCAAAGTGGTCAATAAGTTGACAAGACGTCAACTTTATTCCAATCATAACAAATACGTGTTTCGAACTTATTGGCTACTTTGGGTGTCACGAACTATTTAAACGCTGACTGTACACATATGACAGGTGAAACTCTATGGAACGAAGTCGAACGAAAAACGAGTAATTAAATAAATCCGTGATTTATTATAAGTTGATATTCGTACAACTCAAAAGATTAGTAGATCTATGAGTAATTATAAAGTTACCTGCCACTTGAAAAGCAACATTTCTAATACAAAGCTGTTTTATAAACATTTCCGCGCTATATGATGTCTTGAAACAATTAAGATCTAGTTTTTTCAGACAACTCAACAGATGGACAGTCAAACGCTGTTTTTGTCTGTCACTGATCCAGACATCCGTGATAGAATAAACTTGATAATCAATTGTCTCAATTAAGTATTGAACCTGTCCAATTAAAATCAGAAGCCAACACTACATCACAATGGAAATCACAACTCACAACCGTTATCGGAACCGAGTATGTGTGTCAACTGCCATAATATACAGCCGCGGGCGTCAAAGCGTTAAACTTTTTGTGTATGTTACCCAAACTTGTGTAACAATTAATCACCACGATAAAAACAGTGCAATGATGATAGCACCGACAAAAAATACACAGCATTATGAATAGAATGTAATTACGCGATTCATGAATGGGCAAGTACCGTTGGCAAATATACTGCAATCGTGAGCGTTTCGGTATCGATCTGTGATTATGATTAATTAATCTGTGAATCTTTTTGAATATAACATTTAATAAAGATATTTCATTTGTAAACTGCAATCATTCATTTCGTCCCACATAATCATCACGATTTGGCAATCACGACCGTATTAAAGAATATAGAAATTTTGATCGTGATCGACCCGTAATGCATTTTTACTTTACTTCCAAATCTTAAGTTAAGATTTGTTATGTAGGTTAGGTCAGTTCATTTGGTCACGAGAACTAGGTACCAATTGAGAATAATGTTCAGATTATTACTTACTTAAAGTCCGTTTGAAAGATCGGAGCTAAGGGTGGTCACATAAAATTTAATTTATTTTCTATTAAGACCAAAGATTTTTCTCAGTGCAAATTTTTACTTTATAAGTTTAAATTGAATTGAAGCTTAATAATTATAGGTAACATTTGTTTTGGTTTCCAACAACTTCAAATATCAGACAAAGAAACATAACGACAATGTTAACATAATTTAGCTCTATTATAGTTAACTAAACTATTGTACATCACATTCAAATTACGAGTACATGTAGAGTATGTTATTTATGTTAACATCACAATAAGTCACGTCTCGGCCACAAATTCCTACACAATACAACAAAGTCCTACAAAACCACAAAGCCTGGTGACCCGACCATCAAAGGGCCACCGAATAAGGTGTTTAGCCCACCAGGTGGTAATTTGTACAAAAGTGAAACCACTTCACTTTCCACGCGTGATGCGATCTCGCTCGCTCTTTCTTATCTTTACGACTTGGATCGGCGTAGGGCTGACAGATTTTATGAAGGGATTGTAGCTATTGTTATACTCTAGTATTAGTTGAACTTGTATTAATGCTCTTTTATGTTAAGAAATGATTATGTGAGGCGGAATATTATGAGTAATTCCATGAAATTAAATTAAATAAGAATACAAACACTACTTAATGTACATGAATAGTACTGTCACTAGCACATAAAACTGGGTACACAAT